AGAGAGAGAGAGAGAGAGAGAGAGAGAGAGAGAGAGAGAGAGAGAGAGAGATTTCAAATAAATTTGCTTACGATAGCGGCTGTATATATAAAATAATAATTTTCAGAATTTTCTATATAATAATTCGCAGAACGTATGCAGTTTTCTTATATAGTAAGTTATTGTATAGATAAATATAACTTTCAGCATTAGAGGCGCAGAAAACTAACTTAACTTTGCTAAGATCCTTAAAGGGAACGAAAAAGCTTAACAGTTATCCGTCTGCATATGTATTCTAAATAAAACGTATGGTTTTTCAACTTTTTTTTTTAAAGGATATCGTAAACAAATTCATTTCGAAACAGTCGTTACTTAAATATATCTATATATATATATATATATATATATTGTTTTTGTATAACATTCTTGTTATTTTTTTTTTTTTTGCATTATTTTTAATTTAATTTTTTATTTGTTGAAACAGTTATGTCTCGGTTTAAAGCATTACCCTTCACAAGTACGGTCCGTTTCACGTATGCAAACGTATCTTGAACGCCACTTAATTACATCCGTTACAATTAAAATTAGCCATAAATCAAAAATGTTGAAAACAACCAATTATAAAATATTGCGAATATTTGTGAAACTAAGTACTTTTGAAGCATGAAGTACTTGGGTAAAATTTAATAGTCTTTGTCTTTATACATAATTGAGAATTTGTATAGCAAAAGTGGATAGAAAACGTTAAGCAATCTTTTATCTTACAACATAACAACAACAATTATGGCTAGTATAAAACTGTCGAAAGCCATGCTAACATAATAATTTGTTGTACATTAGAAGGAAATAAAAACAAAAACAAAAAAAAAAAAAACAAAAAGACAAAACGATAACAAAAATTATAGTTTGTGCCTGAAATTGCAAAAAGCACAAAAGAGATCAGTGAGCATATGAATTCGCAATTCTACGTAGGCAACAACAACAATATTAAGATAAACACATAACGATAACAAAGTAATAAACAAATTGCTTGAGATAGCAAACAATTATACTTGGATGCTGTTTAATTGCTACTACCGCTGCCATACTAAGGCTCAAAGCTCTGTTCATCTGTCCGTCCGTCCGTCCGACCGGCGGTTTGTCGTTAAACTGTAGTCAATAGGAAAAGGTACAAAAGAGGTGTAAGAAAAAAACAAAAAAAAAATTGTAACAAATACTTAACACAGGCATTTACACGAAATGTACCACATACAATACTATTCCGTATTCATGCATTCAATTTCTGAAAGAGCAACAAAATTTTTTTTCTTTTTTAAATTAACCACAATACGTGTTGGTTACTACGTAAGACATCAAGTCACGTTATTTAAATCTAAGCATATATATATATATATATATATATATACATATGTATATATATTATACATATATATGGCTCAGTTATGTATGTCACTGATAGACAAGCAAGTGTAACTGTTATGATAAAATTTCACTAAAACAAAATAATAAAAATAAAAAAAAAAAAAAAAAAAAAAAAATTAGGTTAACTTACATGCAAAATGATGCAATTATCTTTGGCTAAATTTTTCTTACATTTTTACATGATTGACATGGTTTTTTTTAAATTGAGATGAGATCAGATAAACTCACGTTAATTTCCTTAATCAATTTTCGCATACATCTCATGCATCTATGTATGTCACTTTTCATTTTAGCGGCTAGCTATGCAATCAATTTACTGTTCATTTCATACGTAATTTAAAAGCTGACTAACATTGCAGTTAAACCTAATAGAAAATATATTAAATAACGTCATATTCAAATTCATTCCGATTACCTTAAATGCATAGATGAATTACATTGCATAAAAGCTGCTGCGCTCAATGCCTTCCCATTTCTTTATCAATAAATCCCTTTTTGAGCCCGGCCCGAGCAACATGTTATGTTATTGTCTTAAATCCTCTTACCGTAGATATCCAAATGTTTCAAATGCGGCTCATAGAGATAAATAGATAACATGGCGTAACAGCGTGAATTACTCAACAAGCTATCAATTGACTGTTGGAATGAAGTAGCATTTCGTGTAACAAGCTAATGAAAATAAAGAAATTTCCTTAATTAAAAAAAAAGCAATTTTGACAGTTTGATCATTCAGTGCTGTCCTCATCGAGGAGAATGATGTTACAATTATAAGACTTCACTCCACACATATGAAAAGTTATATAATTTATTTATTATGCAGGTGCAAAATAGATGAAAATATAACTATATTGCTGTCGATTAACGAGTTAATCGGGATATTTATTGAAAAAAAGTTCAATAGCAAATATACATGGATTAATTCCAACTACTTTTTGGTAATCACAACTGGTTGACTCCAACCGATAATTTATTTTATTTACGTAAGAATTTTCCTCTAAATGCATCTACAGATCCCCTGGGTAACGAATAGTAAATAGTATGCCTAAGAATGCATATTATTTTGAAGCGCATTGTTAAAAAGCAAAAAACTTTTCTCTAATTTCTCTTAAAATAGAGAAAAAACCAATTTATAGATGAAAGACTTAAGCAACAAACTATTGATTATTGATTTTCTGAAAATAAATGCGAGTTATGTGAGTTATTTTGAAATAAGTTTATTAAAAGCAAAGGTTTGCAGATATTGAAAAAAAAGTCTGCTACAAAGCAATTTCCTTTGCATTGTGTGTGGGTTTTAATATTGGATTGAATTGGATCTCTTCATGATGTCTGTCCAACTTTCTTTTTAATTATTACCAACATTGTATTGTTTGTTATAACTTATGACCGTCAAGTTTTATGATTTGTTCTTCAAGTGTATTGCAAAATTCTCTTTGACATAAACTATCGCATTACAAACCGCAAAAAAAAACGAAGAAGAAGAAAAACAAAGACAATATGTTGGAATATACTATGCCTGGTAGGAAATTTTCCCATTAAGTTGAACGATTTAAGCTAAACGCTGGCTGTATGCTGTAATATGTATACATTAGCAAAATTGGTTTCAATGATAACCAAGGTCATCTTCATTGCATTGGTATTTTGCTCACCTGAGATCTGAAAATCTAACGCCATATAGCATTTGGAGGATAAGCGTTACTGTATTCAAGCATGAATTGAATGGATTAACTGAATACATGAATTTTAATCTTTTGAGCGCTTAATAATAAATTTTAGACTCTCTAACATTACAACAACCGTAAACAACTTAATCGTACAGTGGACTAATTAAAGAATTAATTACTCTATCGGTTTCAATCAGCGTTAATATTTTTTCGTTCTTTTATAATATATATATATATATAGAGAAGGATAGAGAAAAAAAAAAGAGCATTTTTTTAATATTTTGTAAAATTTTTTCATATTTTTCTTATTACATCTAGGCTTACCCCAAATATAATTATAATTACGGCGTTGCTGATTCACATACCGGTGATGTTAAGTCGCAACATGAAGTACGCGATGGCGATGTGGTGAAGGGTTCTTATTCCCTAGTTGAACCAGACGGTTCAGTACGTACCGTTGATTATACCGCCGATGATCATCACGGTTTCAATGCTGTCGTTCATAAAACCGCACCCACTGTACATGCTGTGGCTCATGCTGCTCCCGCTGTCGTAGCTCATGCCGCCCCGGCTGTTGTGGCTCATGCTGCTCCCGCCGCTATAGCTCATCACGCCGCTGGTCCTGCTCTTAATTATGCTACTGTAGCGCATCATGTTGCTGCCGGTCCGGCTCACGGCTATGGTGGCTATGCCGGTTATGCAGGTCATGGAGCTGCTCATGGTCATTATTAAAAAAAAAAAAAAAATCACTTTAAGAAAAAAAGCAAACTACGAATACTCTGTCTCACTCTTATAAGAAGTAACTGTAAATTAATTTAATAGTGTTTTTTTTTTTTTTTCTCTCTTCTTTTTAAATTAAGTTTAAGGCAAAACACACAAAATTCATTGATAACAACGGTATATAGTGTAAAGGATATGAAAATGGGCATTTAATTGTAAAAAAAAAAAAAAAAAAAACAACAAAAAAAAAACGGTCAACACAATGAACTAAAACTGAAGCTGAAATCGAACCAGCATAAGCAACAGAAGAAGAAGACACAACAGAGGAGAATTAATTCGAAATTGAATCTTTGGTTGAGCTTCTCCAGCAAACTTTCTGACTTTTTTGCTTCAGTCTTCACCGTAGCTCTTAACGAACTTAAACTTTTGTAAATATTTATTTTTCATTTCTCTCTCTCTCTCTCTGTCTGTCTCTCTCTCTCTCTCTCTCTCTCTGATAAATCTTGTTGTCTTCTGTAGCCTGCACATAATCTCCTTGTATATACGAACGATAGTGACTCTCTTGTTCTTCCTAATGCATATCACATCACTGCCTTTAAAAAGTCATTCATTTCTTTCATACCCCATTAAAAAAGCATTACTTGCAAAAATAAAATGAAAAAAAATTTAAAAAATAAAGCGGAGAAGAAATCTTATTAAGTTATAATACTCACACGCACATACACACACACACACATTTGTAAACTGCTAAAGAAGAAAAGAAAAACATAATTTATGAATAAATGAAAAAAATTATAGGGAATTAAAAAAGAAAAAACTCATGAAATCATTGCTTATAATAGACGCCTGACTCTTGTCCGTCTATGCCTTCTATTATGGCTATTTGGATGCTTTAGTTTGCCATGTGCTATCGATTGGAACTTAAAAGTCTTTGCAAACTATTCGAACTCTTCATGAAAATCACAATTCAGTTCTGATTTATCTTGCGTTCAGGACAATTAGCTCGAAACCTTACTAACTGGAAACATTTTATAAATACTCGTCACAATGCTCAGCAAAATCGATCACTCTGCGACTCATTTGTAGTGCATTTTTCAAATAAATTTGATAAGCTGAACATTTTCAAATAATTGGTGCAAAAAGTAATCAAAAGCCATCTAATCGAAGTATCTAAGGCGACGCAGCAAATCTAGACTTGAATTCCGTTGATATAAGCGTTTATACAAAGGTGATGTATCTGTTGTCCTTTACCAAGTGTAGGCAATCTCTTGTAAGGTAGTGACCAGACTTTGCTCAATTTGCTGGAATATGTAGGAAATGTTTATTATTGTTACATCAGACTCTATCTCAAATGTTTACCCCTGTAATATACCGCTCAGTAAAAAAACTGATAAAACTACCAGTGAGTATACAGTTTTATCGATCAAATATCAATCAATATCAGTTTGTTCTATAATATTAGCCGCACCTTAGGTTTCTTATGGACTCTACTCTAGTTCAGCTAACGCAAAACACATCACTCAATAAGTCTCTGGTCTAATATATGTATACAGGTATATGTATATATATGTATGTACACGTATTGCCAGACCTATATGATTTATAGATAATACCAGCCTTCTCAACGATAAGTGTCAAAGTTTAATGATCGTTTGCGAAAACGTTTACAAGTGACAGTTGTTTTAGTTACGCTACTTTTGCAATTTTCAAAACAATGGAAACAAGTCAAAAAACTTTATTTCGCTTGCTGATTTGATGGGAAAAAATACATTGCCTTGAAAGATATCGCGAAATATCTGGTCTAACGAATAAATAAATATGTGGTGTGGGGTTTGCGCTAAATTTAAACACAATCGTATGGACTCGGATGTTAATGAACGCTTTAGTCACCCGAAATTGGTAGTTATTTCAGAAAACATAAAAATCATTTTGGAAGACTAGAAATTGAAGTTGCGTGAGTTGGCTTAGATTCTAATAATATCAAAAGGCAGTACATTGACTATTGAGAGTATTGACATTGAGAGCATGCCGCGCTTGACAACAAGTTGTTAATGACTCAGACAGGTGTTTGACGCTGCCCCAGCTGCAATCTCCTCCTACACTTGAGAGTTGAATCGGCGGTCAGCCGAGTGGACAGTAACCGGCAAAAATCGTCTAAAGCGACCAGAAAAGTAGTCCCACTACAACAACAACAATTTGTAAGCAAGTTGATGGTGGTTTCCTTCTCGTCATAAAATTTCTCTCAACCCATATTGTATTAGCAGGCGCCTATCGATTTCAACTAAAGCCGGATTAAACCATTCAATCGCGTCGTTATTGCTGTGGGGAGTGTGACGTAGTTAGCGGCCTTTGAATGCCCTCCTATACTATTTGTCGATTTTATTCAAAAATTTCCTTTCTCTTCCTATTAGCGTAACAAATGCTTCATACCTTGTCCAATAGAGGGGAAAAAAGTTCACCATATACGTCTATCTGGTGGGTATCACTGATCATCATTGCTTCTTATATCTGGCAAGAGAAAATTGAAATTCTACATTGAATTACGTAACTTAGTAACAATTATGGACTTTTCTTCAAGTTTTCTTTTCTCTTGTTATCGCAAATTCAACTTTTCCATTCAAACATACGCCAACCACACACAAATTAATATTTATAGAAAATTCCAAAATTTTTTCTAGCTCTAGATATGCAGATCATGATGAAATTTTTTTTTTTTTTTTTAGAAAAAAATTATCACTGCATTGTTCCTGCATTTTAGCAAGGCCGCTTTAGTTGTAGATGTCCCGCGAAAATATCACCATTGTTGTGATTTCTCAATACTATATATATATATATATTTATATATACATAATAATAATTAAATATATGCATTACAACTTCCGCAAATATCGTTATTCTAGTATTTTTCTTTCCATTGAAGGAAAATTGGGAAATAACGTTTTCTTCTTTAAGCTGCTAAATGCTTTCATTTAATTTATTTTCAGTTAAAGCTTTAAAATACTTGAATTTTTTGAACACTTCGCCCTTGGTTTTCAATAATATATACGATTATGATTTTTGAAAAATCATCTATAAACGGTATTTGCGATCTAACCGATATCAACGATACCAACCGATATCGACGCCAATTGTCGTCTGCATAAATCAGTTGAAAGATTTCTTTAGAATTTCACAGCTACACACAAATTTTGAATTTCGAGACTACTCGGTGTCGTATGTACTTTATGCCACTTAGCATTGGCTCCGGGCCAAGATATCTAGATATTTTAAATTCAGGTTACCTGACATTAATTTTGCCATCTTAAGTTGACAGCACAACTTTAACAAAAAAAAAAAAAAAAAAAAAAAAATTAATTGGCAGTTCATGTTCACAATAAAACCATTATTGACTGCTTCACATACAATGATTTGATGATTTTCTTTGAATATTTGGTAAGTATAAGAACAGCATCTCTATTAAGTTTACGTCATTTCCCTTCGATTTAATTGTTAAATTTTCTCTGCTGTGTGCTTCAGTAGAATTTTCTCCGGCTAAATTAATGTTTTTTTTTTGCTCTTAAAATAACGATTCAAAGAAACTTCTCCCACAATAATAGCGAGAAATTGCTGCGCTATCAAGACACTAATTGCTATGGTTGTACGGTTAAGTAATTATGACTCTATCGTGGCGAGAGGGAAGGATAAGAACTGACCCTTCTCTCGCATTCAGATTTTTCCAAATGTTTGCAATGAAATATTTTCCTCTGATTTTATTAGTAAAAATAAAAAAAATAATTCTCCGTTGTTGGTTTATCTTATTATCAGAACTACATTCGCTTTCTTGCACAGAACATAAGTCATAGGTAGCAAAAATTTTTCGAATGAATGCTCTTATGATATTTGAAAATTGCTCTCTCTCTCTCTAAATTTTCCGTTAATATTTGTGCATGCGTGTGTTGATGCGCTTCATAATTCCGACTTTTTTAGCCAGCCCGTGAGATTGATTTACATCTTGTAGTTTGTTGGCCCATCTGTAGTTTTACTTGCTGACTATGCTACAATGTTTATTATAATTAATTTGATTTGGGTTTAGACTCACGACTCAAGTATATAACTTAGCTAATGCCAATGGCTTTTCATCATTTGTTTTCCAGTTTATCATCATTTTTTATCATTAATATAAACCGGCGAACTCTTTTTAATCGTTAGGACATATTTTCCAGCTGGATTTCGATATAGTAGGTTAAAAATAAAGTTTTTCCTCTCTCTTGATAAAAATAGATTCTAGTAAAGCCACAAAATTTGCACGAACAACAAACAAGAAAATGTAAAAAAATCTACAACAAAATCAGTGACTACTTACTACCTTACATTTGAAATATATAATAAAACAATGCTTGTGCATAATTATTATTGTTGCCATAATTACTATTATAATTTTTAAGTGCACTATGTAAATGTACTCAAATCTTTGGTTTGAGTTCATATTGACACACATTTCTGTTTTCGCTACAAAAAAAGCCCACAACTTTATAGTTGTGCTTACGATTACATACAAATATTTTGATTTATTTTTGTTTTCAAGTTTTTTATATACGTCGATACGATATATGTGTATAGCCACAAAGCTCAGATATCTATTCTAATCTATTACCGCTAAGTGCTTCGCCTTGTTTATGTGGGAAGGTAGGGGAGGGGGTGGATGGGGGATTATTTTGCTTTACCAAAAATAAATATCAAGAGGCGGAAGGAGTTGGACGTGCGGTACAAGGTTTTGTCACACATCACCAACTAAGTATCTTAGCTGGACACGGTTAAATATCTCTAGGCGAGACCTGGTAGCTCCCGGCTATCAAGGAGAGCTATTCACCAACATTATCGATTTGCAGGCGATTAAATGATCCGAGCGAGGTATTTCCCACACAATGTTAAGCCTTAGCTTCTTAAAATACTTTGAATGAATGCGCAATGAAAGAAATTTTGTACTGTTATGTCGAGAATATGAAACACCGTACATACTCCCAAATGGTAGAATAGAGGGAAAAAATCAAGTATAGGTTTTTAGAGATCAAAGGTCATAGAAGATTTCCAAAAAAATTGCGTGCTTTAAGTCAATTGCACGCTTGACCCGTGTCCCAATAGTTGTAGTATTAAGGTACGCATAAGAGATAGCGGTTAGGATAGCCTAGGTTTTGTTTACGATTCTATGAACGACTATCTACAAATGTTTAAGTGCATCTTACGGTTTCGTCATGTCGATGACTTTAGCGAATACTCTGCCAATATAATCTTCTAGAAGGAAGCCAACCAACAGCAGATTCAATTT